TCTCGTCTACCAGGAGAACAGACGCATTTTCTATATATTTTTTTGGGTACAGTACAACATTTGTATGCGAAGCCGACGCTTACGGCGTAAGTTTTATTTAACCGTTTTTTTTGTTAGTAGACTCTTCTCAGTAGAGGCAGGTATAAATGACACAGACAGGGTTTTGGAACATTTTAATAAATTATAATACATTCATATGATAATAAAAAGACCAGAATTTCAATTGGTACACAGTACAAGTACGTACACACTTTTTTTGTGTAAATTTTAGACAAAAATTCCTTATCATTTGTATGACTACAAGAAAGATTGTGATAAATACCTTGAGATAAATTTTTTATAAAGAAGATGATAATGAGTTATAATGAGAGAGGAAACTGGATCGAGGAAATCAAGTGTTTATTATTCCTTTATCACAAAAAATAAAACTAGTTGGTATTGCTATTTTGCCTTGAGGCAAGTTACATGAACTTCCCGATATGTATAAATAATCGACTTAATCAATAAAAAATTAATTAATTTATGAGTGATTAAAAGTATTTCGAGTGGATTTATTACACATTATTGAACACGAACGAACACGTTAACTCGGAGTATTTTCTAAAAGCAAATGTTCAAAAATCAACAATTTTTATAATTGAACCAATTTCCGTAGGACTTTAATGATTTAGTATGTTCATTAAGACCAAGTACTCTATTATTATACCAAGTAAATCGTCTAATTTTAATTTTAACAAACGTTAAAAAACTACCCATTTTCTCAAACTTTGATGAATATTTAAAATTAAACTACTTGTCGTAAGGTAGTAAAGTTTCAGTAAATTTCAGTAAGTTTTATAATGCCATGATGTATATCACCAAAAAAAGTTCCATAAAAATCGGCTTAAATTTCTTTTTCAACAGTTAATTACAAAAAACGGCTCCGTAGATTTTTCACCTAAAACTAATCAGCAGGGTCGGACTTAGAAATTTGGCGCTCCGGGGCAGTGACAAAAATGCCGCCCTCTTCCTGAAATTTTACTTCAATAGTTTTATGTCTCATTTTTCTAAATCTAAAGTAACTATTTTTTGCAAAAAAGTTATTTTGCCTTACATACTATAATAATAAAATAAAGTATTCATATTTATTCTAACTAAAAACATTATAAACTTTGCACTAAGTTTCTTCACAGACACATATGACAAACTTTTTGTAATGCAAATTGTTTAATTAAATCTTCACAATCTAAACATTGAAGTACAGCCGGTTCTATGCATAGAATTCAAACAAGAAAACGATCGTTCTACGCTATAGTTTGTTGCAGCTAAAGTAATGAATATGCGATAACCAATTTATACGTTTGGAAACTCAGTGTAAAGGTCATTTGAACACAAAAGTTTCAAAAAATCAGAAGGTGTTTTTTTTTAGATACATTAAATGGATTTTAAATTTCTGAAATCGGTCCAGCCGTTTTGGAGAAAACGTCAATCAAAGGTCTAATTGAATTTTCAAAATCGATTCAGAATTGCGGGCTAAAACGTGGACGAAATTTTTTCACTTTTCTGCTATTTATAAAGAAACGGGACGATCGTCGCACAAAACTGAGAAACAATAGTTCTCATCGCGATACACACATACACACACACATACTTTTTCCTTAAATTTGGTCTCATTCGTTTCAGAATGGCTTGAAACCTCGAGAAAACATAAAATTAGCGAAACGGATTTTTTTATGTAAACACTCTCCTTCGGGATGTTAAAAAGAGTTGTTCTTTATAACTTTCGGGTTGTCCTACCCTGCACAACATTCCTCTGTTATTCCCTCCGCGGTCGATACTTCACACGCACACGTCGTCTTCCCACAAATATAATAACAAACGAGCCGTCGTATCGCCTTTACCGAGACTTCGCCGTCGGCGTCGCCGTCGGCCTCTCTTCCGCACTCGTATCAAGTCAAAGTATGTATTTGTAATGTAATTTCTGCGCCTGTTCGCCTGGTAATCGGCGATCGGCGAGACCGCTTAGCGCGCCACTTGGCCCGACACCGACACCCAAGACAGGGACAGAGAAATAGAAATAGGAAGGTACCTACTACAGGACGCATTAAGAGACAAAACTGTAATATAGGGATGAATATGCGATATATGATGATTTAGTTAACTAGTGGTGCATGGCATCGTGCCTTGAGGCAAGTTACTGGAACTTCCCGTATCAAATTCATTTTTTTTTCAAAAAGGCTAAATAAAATTTTATGAAAACTTTGTCAACTAGTGGGGCGCATGGCATCGTGCCTTAAGGCAAATTGCTGGAACTTCCCATACCAAAAACTATTTTTTTTAAAATGATTAACAATTTTGAAAAAAATTTACTCTGAAAAAATTAGATTTTTGAGAAACTATAAATTTTTGACAAAAATTTTCCTTTTTTGAAATAATATAATATTGAAAATTTGATGATATTTTCTTTATTTTGACATATTTTGGTAATTCTGAACTTTTTTCCAAAGCAATCGTACTGCTTTAACTGCATAAAGACAAAATATGGAAGCGCGTAAGCGCCGCGTCGCCGTCTAACGGATAAACATTAAACTTATTGTTAAAATCTCTATAAAATATCTGATAATTTGATGTGCATATCTCTAATGATCATTTTTGACCGCCAAATGGCATTTTTTTTTACTTTTTATTATTAGATCTCCGAAACCGCTAGACCGGCCTTAATGAAAATTTGATCAGTTCTTCATCTTGTCAATACAAGTGAAATGTTTTTTGAATTATTCAAATCGGACGCTGCGTTCTCTTAAAAACTGAGTTAGCGTTTTTGGCACTTTTTGCCCCGTATCTTCGAAATGGCTAGACCTGCCTTTGCCAAAAACTAATCAGCACGTCTCCTTATCAATACGAATCGAATGTTTTTTGAATTATTCAAATCGCTTCACCCGTGTTGCCAAAATCGTCGACGAAAATTTGTATCCGAATACACACACACACACACACATACATCCATTTTTTCTAAGGTATGCCAAAATGTTCAGAAACCTCTGAAACGTAAAGATATATAAAAATTTTCATTTTCGATTTTTTTGCGATTACTATAACTTTCCCTATGGGAAGTTAAAAATGGCTCAATGAATTAGTTAACTAGTGGTGCATGGCATCGTGCCTTGAGACAAATTTCTGGAACTTCCCGTATTAAAATATAATTTTTATAAAAAAACTATAAAATGTTATGAAAACATTGAAAAAAAATGGGATTTTTGAAAATTTTGAATTTGTTGAATAAAAATGACTTTTCGGAAATTTGTTTTTAAAGTTTTTTTAAAATTTTAACTTCTTTTCAAAGTATATACAAAATCGAGTGCATTTTTTAATATCTTGCTCTATTTCATAGAAATTTTTCTCAAATATATGTAGATTGTTATATATCATTAAAAAGCCAATAAAATTTGCTAAAATCTCATATAAATTAAAAACTAACATCTAGAACAAAATTATACAGAAAAAACTATTAAAATTTAAATTTGTTTTGATAATTATGCGTTTAAATTAAATTAGGTATAATATATAATTGAGTGCATTTTTTTATATCTTGCTCTTTTTTATAGAATTTTTTCCAAATATATGTAGTTTGTTATATATCATTGGAAAGCTAATAAAATTTGTTAAAATTTCATTTAAAATAAAAACTAACATCTAGAACAAAATTATATAGAAACAGGCAATTTGCCATTTGTATGAAATAAGATGGCTATATTCAAAATCGAGTGCATTTTTTTATATCTTGTTATATTTCAGAAAAAAAAAATTCCCAAATATATGCAGATTGTTATATATCATTGGAAAGCTAATAAAATTTGCTAAAATCTCATATAAAATCACAGTTAACATTTGGAACAAAATCAGAGAAAAATTAAACGTTAAACTTTTAACTTGGTTAAAAAAATCATAATTCTTATAAATCAAGGCAATTTATATAAAAAATAAAGTGTATTTTTTATATTTTGATCTCTTTTACAAAAAATTTGTTCAAATACATATAGATTTGTATATATCAAAGAAATGGAAATAAAATTTACGAAATTTTGTTATAAAAAAACAAGTAACATCTGGAACAAAATTAATTACAAAAAAGCCTTATTCTTTCGACTTGATTGAAAGATTGATTGAACTTTAAGTAAGGCATTTAAAATATATATATATATATATATATATATATATATATATAAATATCTAAATTATATATAAATATATAATTTAGATATATAATTACGAAAACCCATTAGAAAATCGCTTTTTCTGTCAAACCAAACAATAGAAAGAAAAATGATTAATTCCCTCCATCGTTAGGAAAAACGTAAACGTTTTTCTTAATGATTTATTAACGAGAACATTTATTTTACTTAAAACCTTTTTTTAATTAAAACTCCACCGTAATAAATATATAAAAGGGAATTTAAAATTATGAGGTGAAATAAAAAGTGAAATAATAATAAAAAGATATATAAACTGATTGTAATATAATATTTATATGATATGGCTATTTTCAAGCTTTAATATAGCCAGAAATTTTACATTTAGTAAAAGTTGGTTTAGTACAAATTTTGTAAATTTTATAAGCTACAAGTTTGTCTCTGGAGTTTTTTTTGCAGCCTCAATAATTTTTTAAATATTTGATACAAACCAAAACTTTTCATCCTATCAACTCTTGTCTAATCCAGGACGCACCTGAACAAAATTTTGCACCGCATTTCAATATAAAATTCTAGCAATTATTTTCACAACACCTATGCTCAAAATTTGGCTAAAATAATCTTTGATATCTACTTTATGGCAACAAATAATAAAATTTATAAAATTTTGGTAAAATTTTTCAAATATTGGCAAAAAACCACTAAAAGTACAAATCAAACACCGCACTGCAAAAACGCTTGTAACTTTTGTTAAATTAATATTTATTAATATTTTTTTCGGAGAAATTTTTACTTATAATATAATTATTATTTAAAATATTTTTTTACTAGGTTCGGGGATGTTTACCAGCAATGGGCTACAGTTTTGCAGCAGGAACCACAGATGGTCCTGGTGCCTTCGATTTTCAACAAGGAGATGTTACTGGAAATCCCTTCTGGAATGCCATCAGGTAACAAATTTATAGATTTAATTTAACAAAATATTAATTTGAAAAACTGTTAAAAATTTCCTGTTTTTTAGGAACTTTTTGGCAGTTCCTACAGCCGAAGACATCGAGTGCCAGAAACCGAAACCGATTTTGCTTGCAACTGGCAGGGTAAGAATAAAAATTAAATAATATATAAAAAATTTTATGCTTTTGTTCACAAAGTTATGTGTTTTTATTCATCTATATGTGTTTTAATATTTTACATGTTAAATGTATAAATTTTATTTATTTTGTGGAAGATTTTGTGTCCGTTTGTCTGTTTGTTGTAAAAATCAATAAATTTTGTGGATGAAGACTTAACATTTTTCACGGTTTGATGTGTTCATAAATATTTTATATAGAGAGAAGGTGTATATAGGAAAAATATTGGAAATTCTATACACAACAATATTGTCTAATACTGTTTTTAAGTATCTAAAATGGTTTTCAAGTTTTTGAGTAAAACCAAAATTTTGTACCCGCCCTAACCTCGTACGTACTACCTAAAAGCTTCAAAGCAAAATTTTGCATCGATGCTAATTTCCAAAACTAATTTTCTCTGCACAAATAACTCGTAGAAAAAAATTAAATATACCAAAATAAAGCTAATTTCATACGCTACAAATTTGCTTCGAAAACTTTTTCAGTAAACTTCATAATTTTCAAAATTTTTAATAAAAACCAAAACATCCTACCTTATCACCAGTCTCCTCGTCCAACACCAAATCTGCAAAGAAAAATAAACTTACATTAATTTTGTAAATAAATTGCAGCTCAATCCATAACAATTATTTACAAGAAACAATTCCCATTAAATTCCTTACTATTTCTAGTACAGTAAACAAAAATTTTATTAAACTAAATCATTTTAATTAAACCTTTGAAAATTAATTTTCTCAGTAAGTACATTCCAAACCTTTGCATCAAACAGAAACTAAATCTCGTTAAAATCGTTGATTGAAATATCTTTGAGGTAAAGGATTATTTATTGCATTTTGGAAAAGAAAATACTTGCTTTAACACAAGTTAAATAAATGATTTTCCTAGAATTGTATCATAAAAACTAAAACATTTCAACTATCCACCAGAAATATTTTATTCAAGAGTAATTACAAATAATTTACAGAATCCTTTACTTTTGTGTCCTTTCAAAAAGGTTCTAAATTTATACATTGATATTAATCAAAGGATACGGAAATATCCTTCGGGAAATAAATCACAGAAATGATTTTCATATTTCATATTTCATTGAAACAAAAGACTTTTTGTCCAGAATTGTCAACGAGTGGGCGATGGAATTTAAATGAGAGAAAATTAATAATATTAATTGAAATTCATTAATTTTGAAAAGTTTTTGAATTTAATTATGTTTTTGAATATGTCTACTATAAGGTCAAATATTAAAATGAATATTTTTAGTTGACCTATATTCATTATCTTTATTATAAGTCAATTGATTCTAAAGAAAATCTCAAAATAATAAATTATTTTATCATATTGATTTTATTACTGAAATCAAATAACAGAATATTTTTTAATTTATTCATTGATTTGTTTATTTTTTTATTTACTCATAAAATACAATTAGTTCTACATTTATTTCTTTATTAATTAATCAATAATTTTTTCAATATTTTATTCTTTAAGAATTTCCTAATTTAATTCTTGATAAACCAAATGATTCATTATTAATAATTAACTAATTAACTAATTTACTACTTAATTAATTATTTAATTGGATAACTAATCATTAATTGAAATTAATTGATTAATTAATTTAAAGCTGACAAATGCTTAATTATTATAAATTTATTAATTAATTAATTAACTAATTATTAATTAAAATTAATTGATTAATTAACTAAAAAAATGATTTTTTTAATCTAATTTGCTAATTATACACTCTTAGATAATTCATTATTATTAATTAACTAATTAATTGACTAACTAATTATTAATTAGAGTTAATTGATTAATTAACTTAAAAAAATGATTTTTTAAAATCTAATTCACTAATTATACACTCCAATTAGTTAATTGATCAATTATTTAATTTATTATTTATTTTATTTCATTAGCTCTTTATTTATTTATTTATTCATTTATTAAATTAATCATTAATTAATAAATTAATTAATTTATTTATTCATCCGTTAATATATTCATTAATTTAATTATTTACTTATTCATTTAATTATTGATTGATTTATTTATTTGAATTAATTATTATTTTTATATCATACTATAATTTATTTATTCATCCATTATATTTATCATCCATTTAATTATTTATTTATTTACTTTATTTATTCATTTATTTATTTAATTATTCATTCATTTATTTATCAATTATTTGATTTATTTAATTAATAATTTATTTATTTATTCATTCATTTTTCAATTTATTTATTAATTTATTTGCTCATACACTTATTAATTTATTTGTTTATTTATTTATTAATTTATTTGTTTCTTTATTCATTATATCTTTATTTAATTATCAATTTACAAATTTATTTATTACTCAAGTTATTAACTTATACATTTATTTTTTAATTTATTCATTCATTTATTTGTTTATTTATTCCTTTATTTAAATAGTTATTTTTAATTTATTTATTTCTTCATTTATTGGTTTATTCATTTATTTATTTATTCATTCATTTATTTATGAATTAATTGATTTATTTAATTCATTATTTATTTATTAATTAATATACTTATTTATTTATTCATTTAGTTTATCTATATATCTTGTTCTTTATTTTTTATTCAATACTTTGTCTATCTATTTTACTATTTATTTATTAATCAAATGATCTATTTAATTAAATATTTATTTAATAATTTATTTATTTCTTCAATAATTTAATTAATTATTTATTTATTTACCTATTTTGATTTTTTCTTATTAATATTTTTATTTATTTATTATTATCTATTTTACTTATGCATCATCATTATTTATTTATTTTTGTTTATTAACATATTTATTTATTTAGCAATCCATTTTTTGATTTATTTACTTAATTTTTTGTTTTTTGCTTTATTCATTCATTATTCTTTGCCTTTTTTATACTGTTGAATGTTATTTAATTAAGTCTGTCAATTTATTTATGTTTTTGTCTATTTGTCTATATGTCTATTCATCTGTTTTTTTGTCTTTTTAATTTCAACATTTTTCCTAATTTTTCTCCACAGTTGTCCCAAGTGTTTTACAACGCTTCCAATTTGTCAGGATTTGTGAGTTTCTTTTAAAAATTTCTTTTTTGAAACTAAACCTCATTATGGTTTGGAAGAATTAACCAGGGACAGGAAACTCAAACAAATTTGACATGATTTGAGATAAAATACCAATATCATAATTCATCAAAATCTTCATAATTCAACCATTCAAGTACACCATTCCCAAATAGCATAATTTTTAAACTACCAATTGCTTTATCAAAATAGTCAATAGAATGATATTTTGTAACCACTTGCTATCATTTTAACCAAACTGTAGTCTATCATTGGTGTAATTCATATTTTGGTCATCATATTTGGGCCCTAATGTCATACTTTCTAAACTTTTGCTAAATTTATCAAACAAAAAACTGATTATCTAGTATTTGGCAATCTCTGCAAAATGCATCTAGCATATATCAAGTCAATCTTTTGCTATCATCCAGAACTTACCAGAAACTTGCTTTCATCTCAGACACACCAGAAACTTTAGCAACCATATAACTCTCACCAGAAACTCTTCCTTGCATCTAAGAATCACCAGAATTTCTTGCTACCATCTAAGGCTCACCAGAAACCATGATCAACCTCTTTATTATCATCAGCATCCTTAATTTTCCTTCTAAATCCATCAACTATCTTATTTTTAGGCTCATCTGCCATACCAATGGCAACCAACAATCGTCCCAACCCAACTTTTAATGATAGGAGACGTCGCCCTGGTGGCAATTCCTGGTGAATTCACCACAATGGCTGGCAGAAGGATGAGGGATGCTGTCAGAGTTGCCCTTAAGGAAGCAGGAGGCCCTGAAGCCCTTGTCGTAATCGCAGGATTGAGTAACACTTATACTGACTACGTTGTCACTCCTGAGGAATACCAGGTAAGGGATAAAAATAGTAAAGGACTCTTGATTTGCTTTTAGGGTTGACCCTAAAGACCATCACTGGTCCTTAAGGATTAACCATTAACTTCCCCTAGGGTAGTTCTAGTAATGGGCCAAAAATCGAAAATGAAAATTTTTGCATTTTTCGACGTTCTGAAGGTTTCTGAACACTTTGGCAAACCTCGGAAACGAAATGGATGTGTGCGGATAAAAAAAATTTCTGTCCACCGATTTGAAGGATTCATTTACCATTCGATTCCTATTGATAGGGACATGTGCTGATTAGTTTTTGGCAAAGGCAGGTCCAGCCGTTACAGAGATACGGAGCAAAGAGTGCATAAAATACAAATCGACTTGCTGAAAGAAATACTAAATAAACGCACTCTTTATGATTTATTTACATTTCATCAAATGCAATTCGTAGTTTTTGCTAGCGTTTTTAAAGTATACTGAGATGCTATAGGGTCTTACTATGTTAGACAATATTATTTAGAATTTAATTTTATACAAATTTTCCTAATACATCATTTATTTTTAACAAATATTTTAAAAGTTATTCAATATGTAATAAATAAATGCGCTCCGGATAAATAAAATTAGACGAATTTAGACTATTCCGGATTATTTTATTAGAAAAATTGTTAGAGTGTCTAATTTGGTATAAATTCACTATTAATATTTGTATATATTTATTTTATTATAACTAAAAATAAATGTAACCAATGAAATGTTACAATGGCTAATAACTAGATACTGAAATTTTAACTTTATTAAATTTTAACTGTAATTTTTCTTATTTAATTTTGTTCAAAAAATTTTTAAATGTTATAAACAGATGATATATAATAAAATACATGTTGTGTAATAAATTGTTACTAATATTATTATAACTATAAATAAATGTAACCGATAAAATCTAACAATGGCTAATAACTAGATACTAAACTTTAAATTTCACTTTTTTTTACATTGAGTTTTAAAACATTATATACTTTAAACGGAGTATCGGATTTGAATGATCTAAAGAACATTCAATTTGTAATGATTGGGAGAAGAGGTGATTAGTTTTTGGCAAAGACAGGTCCCGCCATTTCGAAGATACGGAGCTAAGTGTGCAAATAATGGCAGTTTTTGAGTCCGATTTGAATGATCTAAAAAACTTTCTGCTTGTATTGACAAAACAATTGCTTTTGAGGATAAAATTTATTATTACATCTTTTTTCATTTTCCATAAAATATTTATGTAATTTTGGATTAAAAATTCAGAAATTCACCCAGTCTAAGCACAGTATAAGTGTAAATGTCGCACAGAATTATTTGCAAATGCAATGCATTTAGACTGTGACTATACGGGAGCACTTTTTCAATTTTGTGTAAATTAGGCAACTGTTTTTTGGAAATTGAATTCGAAATGAAATGACGATTGTTAATGTTCTAGAGATAAATTGATTGATTTATAATTTACATTTGCTTTGCTCAGATATAAAAAGATAGCAAAAATAATGAAAGTTATAGTAATTGTAATAATATATTTGAAAACGTTTAAAAATTCTCGAATATTTCAAGACAAGAATATTCCTAGACAAGATTTTTAGAATATATTTTTTAAAAATAAGTTTTGACATTTTTTTGTAAATGAGCAGAGTTGCTTTTTTAAGGTGATTTTAGTATTTCTGAATATTTTAGAATATTGTTCAAATACAAAAAATATGAAACTGCCCAAAAGTTTACTAGTAAAATTATGAAAAATCAAATTATTCACAAGGACCCTGGGCCTTCTCCATTATTTCTAAATGATGATGATTAATATAACTTTAAGTTAAGAATTTTTTCTCAATGTGTAGAGTGAGTTGGTATATTTGTGTAAATATGACTTTGCTGAAGTATTGTTTAAATGTAAAAAATATGAAAGTATCTTGAAAAGTATCTCTAAGGGAATTTTTAAAAATTCATAGAATCCTGTTTTGAAAAAATCCAACTACATTGTTCATGTTCTCGGGTTTGTAGTTTATTTCTGAAGCAATAAAAGAATAAATAGTCTTAGTAAAGATTTTAGAAAATTTTATCTAGATTTCATTGTGTTCTGACCAAAAAACTCTATCTTAATCAAAAAAAAAGTTACGTTAGAAAACATGAAAAATGAACAGTGCATACTTGAAGGCAACATCAAATGCTTTTTGGTATAAAAGTCGACTTAAATTTTGTTCATGTTCTCGGGTTTGTAGTTTATTTCTAAAGTTAAAAATATAGTCTTAACAAACTATTTAGGAAATTTTATCTAGATTTTATCATCCTTAGACCAAAATTATCTATCTTGTTGCAGAAATAAGTTATATTAGCAAAACCCAAAAATGTGCTGTCTAAGCCATCAACAATTTTGTGAAAACTATTGAAAAATGTGAAAATGCCGCCGAACTAAGCACAGTTTAAGTGAAAATGTCGCACAGAATTATTTGCAAATGCGTTTAGACTGTGACTGTGCGGGAGCAAATTAGACAACTATTTTTTTTTGAAGTTGAATTCGAAATGAAATGACGATTGTTAATGTTCTGGAGATAAATTGATTTGATGATTTACATTTGATTTGCTCAAATATAACAAACAAGATAGCAAAATTAATGAAAGTTACAGTATTTGTAATAATATATATGAAAACGTTTAAAATTTCTCGAACATTTCATACAGTACGGGAAGTTTCAGCAATTTGCCTTAAGGCACGATACCATACACCACTAGTTTGCTTTTAGTGTTGACCATCACTGGTCCTTAGGGATTGATGTTTTTTTTATTGATTTTTACCTTGTCATGAAAACTGATTTGGCATTTAGGAAGTCACTCAGTCAAACATTTTCCACGGTAGTAAATTCATGGAAAGTTCGGAGATTTGTGCTCGTTAATTTAACGATCAGGGTAATTAATCCAATGAGGTCATCCTGATGATGATGATGGTCTCTGTTTTGGATTGAGGAAATTAGGGAAAAAATCGATGGGAAAAAATACGTTGGCGCAGGCGTAGAAAAAAACTAGTGGTGTATGGCATCGTGCCTGAAGGCAAATTGCTGCAACTTCCCGTACCGTAATGAAATATTCGAGAAATTTCAAACGTTTTCAAATATATTATTACAAATACTGTAACTTTCATTATTTTTGCTATCTTGCTATATCTGAGCAAATTAAATCTAAATCATAAATCAATTTATCTCCAGAACATTAACAATCGTCATTTCATTTCGAATTCAATTTAAAAAAAAAATAGTTGCCTAATTTACACCAAATTGAAAAAGTGCTCCCGTATAGTCACAGTCTAAACGCATTTGCAAATAATTCTGACATTTTCACTTATACTGTGCTTAGCTTGGCGGCATTCTCACATTTTTCAATAGTTTTTCACAAAATTGGGAAAGTGCTCCGTACATAAAACAGTCTAAACGCACTTGGGTAAACATTTGTACCAGAGTGGCGCTTAGACTGTGCTTAGTCTCGGTAATTTTTTGAATTTTCAATTCAAAATTACAAAAAATATTTTATTGGAAATAAAAAAAGATGTAATAATTTTTTATTCTCAAAAGCAATTGTTTTGTCAATACAAGCAGAAAGTTTTTTAGATCATTCAAATCGGACTCAAAAACTGCCATTATTTGCACACTTAGCTCCGTATCTTCGAAATGACGGGACCTGCCTTTGCCAAAAACTAATCAGCCTCTTCTCCCAATCATTACAAATTGAATGTTTTTAGATCATTCAAATCCGATACTCCGTTTAAAGTATATAATGTTTAAAACTCAATGTAAAAAAAGTGAAATTTAAAGTTTAGTATCTAGTTATTAGCCATTGTTAGATTTTATCGGTTACATTTATTTATAGTTATAATAATATAGTAACAATTTAATTACACAACATGTATTTTATTATATATCATATGTTTATAACATTTAAAAATTTAGCGAACAAAATTAAATAAGAAAAATGTTTAAAGTTGAAATTTCAGTATCTAGTTATTAGCCATTGTTAGATTTCATTGATTACATTCATTTATAGTTATAATAAAATAAATACATACAAATATTAATAGCAAATTTATACCAAATTTAGTAGTTTACCAATTTTTCTAATAAAATAATCCGGAACAGTCTAAATTCGTCTAATTTTATTAATCCAAAGCACATTTACTTATTACATCTTGAATAACTTTTAAAATATTTGTTAAAAATAAATTATGTATTTGGAAAATTTGTATAAAATTAAATTCTAAATAATATTGTCTAACATAGTAAGACCCTATAGCATCTCAGTATACTTTAAAAACTCTAGCAAAAACTACGAATTGCATTTGATAAAATGTAAATAAATCATAAAGAGTGTGTTTATTTAGTATTTCTTTCAAAAACTCGATTTGTATTTTCTGCACTCTTTGCTCCGTATCTCCGTAACGGCTGAACCTGCCTTTGCCGAAAACTAATCAGCACATCTCCCTATCAATAGGGATCGAATGGTAAATGAATCATTCAAATCGGTTGATCCGTGCGCCCGAAAACGTGGACATACAAAACACACACACATCCATTTTTTCTGAGGTATGCCAGTAAAATGTTCAGAAACCTTCAGAACGTCGAGAAATACAAAAATATTCATTTCGACTATTATTCCCCAGTTGTGATTATTATTACATGTCATTAAATATATGCATTAGCGTTTTTTTATATGTTTTTAGTCCGAGAGGTGGAGACACCTCCGCCCGACCATAATTAGGTCATCACGAGGTATTAATTATACCAAGTTAATGCGTTTTGTACATGGAAAATAAATTATGAGGGAAAAAAGACTAAGGGGAAAGATTTTATGATAAACCACTGTTGGGTTTTATGTGTTTATGCTTTTTAAGGCAGTTTTGGTTTTTGCCAGAAAATCCTACTTGCTGATTTCAGACTTTGACGAAACGAAATTGAATAAGGAAATTTAGTTACTGACTTTTCTGATGCAATTTTTAAGTATATAGAGTGTTGTATGGTCTTGAGATGTTAGAAACTTTGTTTTGTTATTTAACAATACAAATTTTCTTTGAATATTTATAACAATTTAATTAAATAGTTTAAAAGTTACAGAGGATCAACCAATTACGAGGATTATGGATTGATTTATCTAATTATTATTGTCAAAGGCAATTTTTTGGTACACCGAGTTGCTGTAGGGTCTTGAGATGTTAGAAACTTTTGTTTATTGTTTAATTTTCTATACTTTCTTTAAATATTTGTAGTTATTTAAACTAATAGTTTAGAAGTTACAGAAGACGAAACAAAAAAATGCACTTTCTTAAATAGTGTCTAGCATAGCATAGGTTCTGTTCTTTGTTTTCGAATGCAATTTTTTGGTATATCGAGTTGCTGTAGGTTCTTGTGATGTAAGAAACTTTTCTTTATTGTTTAATTTTCTACACTTTCTCTAAACATTTATATTAATTTAAACAAATAGTTTGAAAGTTACAGAAAAACCAAACAAAAAAATGCACTCTTTCAAACGGTGATTAGCATAGGTTCTGTTCTCTATTTTAAAATGCGATTTTCGTGTATACTAAGTTGCTGTAGGATCTTATGATATTCAAAATTTTTCTTTATTATACAATTTTATAAACTTTCTTCAAATATTTCATTTTTTTTGATGAAGTAGTTTAAAAATTACAATCGATCAAACGAAAAAGTACAACTTTGCCTAAATATTCCACGTAATAGTAATAATGAAAGTAAGTTAAATGCTGATTTTTGGAAGTGATTTTAGTGTATACCGAGTTGTTGTAGGGCCTTGAGATGTTAGAAACTTTTCTCTATTGTTCAATTTTCTATACTTTCTTTGAATATTTTTTAAATTTAAACAAATAGTTTAAAAGTTACAAAGAATCAAACAAAAAATACACTTTTTCAAGTGTTGGCTAGCATAAATTTAGTTTTTCATTTTCAAATGCGATTTTGAAGTATACCGAGTTGCTGTAGAGTTTTATAATATTAAAAAATATTTTATAATATTTAATTTAAACAAATCTCTCTTACACATTAATAAAATTTAACGACTAATTTAAGAATTACAACTAATATAATGAATACATGTTTTTTGATAACATACAAAATCAGTCTCTATACTTCAATGACAATTTTCAAGTATACCGAGTTGCTGTAAAACAAAATTATATCAATAAAACTTAAAGATAATTTAATTCTAAACAAGTTTACTTAATATTTTATATATATTAAACCAAAGATTTAAAAGTTTCTATATAATGAATAAATGCATACAACATAAATTGTGCATCTCCATTATTTAGTTTTTTTTGTAGTTTTAAATACAAAAACTTTTCTCAAAAAATGTGTTTTTATCATACTATATATAGTACAGAGATACAAGTGTCAACTTTGTAACAAATATAATCCTGGATAACTAACGAGCTCATTAAAACGACCAAAAACGCTTTTTAAAACTCGTGTTATGAGGTAAATCTTTTGCAAATAATGTAAGAGTTGGTGGAAGAATATCAAATGGAAAAATATTTATGTAAAAATATTTTCTTAAGAGCTTACACTATAATCACTTCTAAAAATCAGCATTTAACTTACTCTCATTATTGTTAATACGTAGAATATTTAAGCAAAGTTGTACTTTTTTGTTTGATCGATTGTAATTTTTAAACTACTTGATCAAAATAATCAAAATATTTGAAGAAAGTTTACGAAATTGTATAATAAAGAAAACTTTTGAACATCATAAGATCCTACAGCAACTCAGTATACTCTCAAATCTTATTTGAAAATAGAGAACAGTCACCGTTTGAAAACGTGCTTTTTTATGTTTGATTCTTTGTAACTTCTAAACTATTTGTTTAAATTAATAAAAATATTCAAAGAAAGTATATAAAATTGAACGATAAAGAAAAGTTTCTTACATTTCAAGACCCTACAGCAACTCGGTATACACTAAAATCACTTCTAAAAATTAAAAATTTAACTCACTTTCATCATTAACTCTGTGAAATATTTAATAAAATAGAAAAAATTAATGTGTCAAATTATTTAAAATGAAAAAAAAAACACGGAAAAACACAACTAATATGTTACGAAATGTGACTAAATTTTAAAGTATTATATTATTTTTTAGTATATTAAATTATTTTTAAATTAGCATAAAAATATTAACATAAATATTGTACGAGTAAATTTGAATTTTTTCACAAATTGTTTTTACATAATAAAGTCTACTAGTCGAAGGTTTAGGCACGACGAATAAAATGTACTTTTTCTGTTATTGAACAAATAACATTTTTTTTGGATAGAAATACGAAATTTTTGTCTGAGAAACATTAAATTAGCATAACATTTACTATCAAACTGTATAAAGCAGAATTTTCTACAACATTCCTACAGATTTCTACAAGCTTTCAAATATTACTTTTATAATAAAGTTATTGTCTAATTCTTCTACACCAAGACGAAATTTTTGCTTACTTATTTTTATTTAAATACTTATTTTTGTTTACTTTTTCAGCTCTCGCACTAAGGGTGAAATATAACATATGATTGACATGTATGCTTTTTGGAAAATGTTGGAATTTTCCATCGCCTTTCATTACAAATCTTTTCATGAATGGATTTTTGATGTAACAACCTCTTATTAATCCTCGAGCTATACAATAAAATAATTGCCTATTTAAATCCCCTAAGAATTCCCTTTTCTAAAGGACTAGCTGTATATTTTAAATTTAATGATCATAATAAAAAAAATAATATAGAATTGTAGAAATGTCAAGAACAAGTTTAGTTAAAAAATATCTAATAGAAATAACTTTCAAATTTAACAAGAAATTTGAGAAAATACTCAGTAGTTTTTTTATACCATTTTAAAACATTATAGTATAGTATAGTATAATTTGGCGTATCAATTAATATTCAAATATATGGTTTAATTATAAACTAATTTGAAAAATTATATAATATATAAAGTATGAAATTATAACCTGTGTTTCAAAATAAGCTCAAAATTTTTGTCTAAATTTATTCAATTTTAGATAGCATATTGTTTCGAAGTATTTCTATTATTGCTTTACTAAAATTTTTCAACTGTTTTATACATTTTTAATTAATATTTATTCAATTTTTTTATATAATTTTTATATTTTTTTCAGGTTCAACGGTATGAGGCAGCTTCCACAATTTATGGACCACACACACACACTTTATATATTCAGCAATACCAAAAATTAGCTAGAGCTTTGGCAAAGGTAAGTAAAAAATAGTAAAAATAGTAAAAATAGTAAAAAATAACATACATATTTTATAAATAAATATACTGAAAATGAGACGTCAAAAATGACTAAGAAATTTTTTAAAATAATCAGGAATACCAAAATTTGCTCAGAGCTAAAAAAATAGAGCTAAATAGTCAAAAATAGTTATTAAAATATTTTTAAAATACCTTAAAAATATTTTAAGATATACAGTAAATTTAAAAATTGGTTAGAACATTGACAAAGGGTAGTAATAAATAGTAAAACTAGTAAAACTAGTAACTATACAATTTAGTACTAAAAATGTCCCAAAATAGAGACATTATAAACTACAAAAAAATATTTAAAAAAAATTAGCAATTACCACGAATTGTTTCATCAGAGCTTTGTTATACATACATATTATATATATATATATATATATATATATATATATAATTTAATCTATCTCCTAGCTTTCAACAATCTTTCCACAAATAAAATAGAGTTGTTCTCTCTGTAAACAATATCTTCTAAAATGCAAATACTAGAATCGTATAGCACTCAATTTATATGAATGAGGAAGATTGCATATTATGCAATAATAATAATAGAGATATGAGAAAACCTTCGACCATAATTTTAGTCCGAGGGGCAGCGACATTGGAAACTGTCTTTGAAGAAATTGATAGAAAATTGTTCTGACTTTTCCAAAGCAATTTTTAGCTATACCGAGTTGTTGTAGGGTCTTGAGATATGAGAAACTTTTGTTTATTATTCAATTTTCTATATTTTCTCTAAACATTTATATTAATTTTAGCAAATAGTTTAAAAGTTACAAAGAATCAAACAGAAAAAAGCACGTTTTCAAATAGTGTCTAGCATAGGTTCTGCTCTCTATTTTCAAATGCAATTTTAGATTCAATTCAATAATAAAATTATTGAGTATTTTACTACTTTACAATCCTGATTGAATGCACTAAATTTTAATAAAATTCTGCAAAATAATATAGTACATTTTTTTTAAACCAGAGCTTCCCAAAATTGATTGACGTTAAAAAAATTTAATTCATGGTTTGACAAAAGGGGTTGATTCTTAAAAACTTAGGGCAAAAATGTTATTATTTTTATTTGTGATCTTAAAAATGTTATTCACGGTTAGGGTTCTAAAGCTTAAATAAAAAAAAATCATAAAAATAAACCACAATTAACAAAAAATGGTGATAATTCTACCAAAGCTCTAGGGTTGCACTTGAAAGCTCATGACAAGGTAAATGAACGTAAGGTAAATTTTTTTTCTAAAGTTTTTCAAATCAATACTGTCTCCTACTTTCAGTTTGACGTTGAGTTCTGGGACACCCTGTATATTTATTAAATAATCAAAATAAAAATAAAAGTTGTCTGTTTTATGCAAAATTTTATCCCCGCGCGCTTTTCCAGCAAACCCAATTTTTAACCACTAAACAACCATCAAAAACCCAATTTTATATTTTTACAATTTAACCAAAACTTCCAAAATACCCCAAAAAATATCAAAAATTACATATCTCTATTATATTATTTTTTACAGATTTTTTTATCCACGTCTCTCGTATTATTTTGCGTACTTGCAATTTATGTTACCGAACTACTTATCATAATATTTTGCGGAATGGAAAATTTTTCGCATTTCTACCCACGGAAAATTATTATGAAGGCATTTCAAAATGAAAATATACAGATGTTGATTTATATAATCATAAAAAAACACTAAAACTTGTTAAAAAGACTAAAAAATAAGGTACAATAGTGCTACACGTGATTTAATCAGCAAAATGAAATTTCAAGAGGAATTTTAATACAATAATGTATTTTTTTTTTTAAAAAAAGTCTAATAATGTAGATTTTTAAGTGTACACATTTTTATTGAAGCTTATAGAAAAATAATGAATATAAAAATCTGTATTTTTTATTATAAAAAATTACAAAGAATACGTATAATATCGTACGTACACATCGAAGACTTCAGTCTTAAATCAAGAGTACTTATTGTGATTTAAATTTTATCCAAGCTTTAAATTTAACAAAAATCAAAATTTACGTATGCAGCATTAAATTATAAGTTTTACACAATATATTGCCAAAATTTCAAATTCTTTTCACGCAAAATGTGGTCTGACGAGCTCCTTAAAAATGTATAGATACGAAATCAAATTTGTTTTCAAATGTTCCTATATATTTTACAATTTTTTTTAGTACCTTGCTGTTTATGCTAAAAATCTGTAAATTTAGTATGTTATTGCTTAAAGCTTATACTAATATAATAAATACTAAAATCGATGATTTTTAATGTTTAAAATAAAATAAAATTACTTTTTTCAACGACTACAAAAGATTTTTGTCAAGAAAAATGTATATTAAATATATCAAAGACTTAAGTCTTAAATCGAGAGTACTTGTTGTGATTTAAATTTTATCCAAGCTTTAAATTTAACAAAAATAAAAATTTTTGTATGCAGTATTAAATTATAAGCTTCATACAATATTTTGCCAAAATTTCATGTTTCTTTTACGCAAAATGTGGTCTGAGGAGCTCCTTAAAAATGTACTTATACACGAAATTAAATTTTTGTTTAAATGTTTTCATATATTTTACAAATTTTTTTAGTACCTTGGTGTTTATGCTAAAAATCTGTAAATTTAGTATGTCATTGCTTAAAGCTTATATTAATACAACAAATACTAAAATCGATGATTTTTTATGCTTAGAATAAAATAAAATTACTTTATTCAGCTACAAAAAATTCGGATACAAAAAAATTTAGTCACGAGTACTTGTTTTGGAATTCAAAATTTTAATTTTTACTTTCAATGTATTAAAAATCGATTTTTTGTAACTGACATGAAAATATAGTTACCAATCAATATTGTACCTAAATTTCAAATATTTATTATAAATAATTAGTCTGAAGAGCTCCTTGAAAATATAACTAAACAAAATTTTGTATGTATTTGCATTGAAATATAAAAAATTTCAGGTGCATACGTGCAAATTAATTTATGATTTTTTAATAATATAAACAAATTAATTATTGCAAATTTAAATACTAGATATCAAAATATATAAGTTGTGGTATGATATACTAAAGTTATAGTATTTTAGTATAAATAGTACGATTTTACGAGCTCTTTGAAAATGCATATGCCAACCGAGTATAAAATTCTAGTATAATAAAGATAAAATTTCGAGTCAAAAATTTCAGGTACAAATTTGGGATTTAATATTTTTTATATATAATTTTTTTTGGCATTATAAATTTAGTCAATAAAAATCAAAATACATAGTTTGAAATATAATATATTAAAATTTGAGCACTTTAATATAAATGCTACGGTTTTACGAGCTCTTTGAAACTATATTATGTAAACCAAGTTTAAGGAAAAATAAAGTCAGACATGTGGGTACAAATTTTGGATTTGGTATATAATTTTCTTTAGTTATTATAAATTTAGTTAATACAAATTAAAATCCATAGTTTGAAATATAATATACTGAAATTTGAGCACTTTAGTATAAATAATACGGTTTTACGAGCTCTTTGAAACGATATTATGCAAACCAAGTTTAAGAAAAAATAAAGTCAGACATGTGGATACAAATTTTGAATTTAGTATTTTTTATAAATAAATTTTTCTAGTCATTATAAATTTAGATACTAGAAATTAAAATACATAGTTTGAAATATAATATACTAAAATTTGAGCACTTTAATATAAATACTGCGATTTTACGAGCTCTTTGAAAATATATTACGCAAACCAAGTTTAAGGAAAAATAAAATCAGACATGTGGGTACAAATTTTGGATTTGGTATTTTTTATATATAATTTTTTTTATACATTATAAATTTAGATAATAGAAATTAAAATACATTGTTTAGAATATAATATACTAAAATTTTAGCACTTTAATATAAATACTACGGTTTTACGAGCTCTTTGAAAATATATTATGCAAACCAAGTTTAAGGAAAAATAAAGTCAGACATGTGGGTACAAATTTTGGATTTGGTATTTTTTATATATCATTTTTTTTTTCATTATAAATTTAGATAATAGAAATCAAAATACATAGTTTGAAATATAATATACTAAAATTTGAGCGCTTTAATATAAATTCTACGGTTTTACGAGCTCTTTGAAAATATATTATGCAAACAAAGTTTACTCAAAAATCAAAGTATAATTCAAACTTTGTTAGTTTAAAAATTTATTGCGACTATTTTAAATGTGATAAAAAGCTGTAACTTATATATGTTATTCTATATAGTCTATATTAATTTAACAAATAGTAAAATCCATATGTCTTTATACAAAAAACAGTTTTAAATTAACTAAACAGACTTTTATAACTCGAACTGCAAACTTCTAATTGAATCATTATTTACTCAGTGAATAAGTAAAAATAAGCAAATTTTTTAATTAAATTGCATAACATCTACTTTTGTTGATAAAATACTAAAATTATAGCATTCTAGTATAAAAACTGGAATTTCAAAAAATATTATTCCAAACGCACGTATATTATGAAAAGTCTGACTACAGAAAAATGATTCTTGACAAATTTTTACAAAAAATATTAAAAAAATAAAGATTTTATTTATAGTACAAAATTGTTATTTGGTCATACTATTTTTTAGTATGTGTACTAAAATATAAAATATCAAAAACAATAAAGTAATTAAAGTCATAATTCAAATATGACATGATCGGTTTGTCATTGTAATTAGCATTTAGAAATGAATTTTATTAGAGTAATTTTAAAGTATTTCAATCAAATCAAAAATTTGTATTAGTCTTCTCTACGATTCCTTTGTATTTTCTGTATTGCAAGTTTATATATATAAAATCTATTACAGTTATTTCTATAATAATACTCTGAGTATATTTATTTAGCTCTTTCAACTGCAGTTTTATTCTGTAAAATGTTTTCTCAGAACAAAGTTTCTTTATAATAAAGATAAAATAAAAAGAAG